GATTTGGTGGGTAATAGGGTTATGCTGAGTGGCTGCAGCATTTCTGGGGGATGACATGGCCAAGGCCTAAGGAAGCTGGTCAGGGGTTAGCCTGGAGTGGGGTGTTCCCTGATGGTGGTGGGACCCCAGGCATAAGGGTAGAAGCCCATATGTGCAACAGCCCATTGGGGCTGGTCGGTGGCACTGCACCCCAGAGCGCCTTCCCCAGCACCGGCAGTTTTCATCTGCTAATCAGAAGCAGACACAAGCTGCTGGGTATGCCTCGGCCCTGGCGCCCCCTTTCTCGGAAATCCCCCAATCTGGAAACTATTAAACTCAGACGACTTGAAATATAGCGCTTTAATATCTCAGGCTGCCCATTCTGGCGAGGGTGCAGGGTGTTGTTCTGAGTACTTGGGGAATACCACCATAAAAGAAAATCACTGGGGATCCCAGTACCTTCTGCAGCTTCCTCCCTCGCATGGCCTTACAGGATTGGTGAGGCACTTGGAGGGACCAGCCCCTTCCCCATCATTTGAATCTCCTACCCGCTCCTTCCATTCAACACTCCAATTTCGGGGACTGGAGGAAGGTGGGAAGGCACAAACATTTTGTTTCAATGATATTTTGAGGGTCGCAATCAAAAGTCGAAAACACTGGTCTTCCCAGTGACTGAAGCACCTTCTCCTCTTTTCCCACCGAAGAGACCTCCTGCCTAATTCCAGCACCAGTTGTTTCCTTGCTCCTTTTGAATGGTGCTTTGCCTGGAGTTTAATCCTCACTCCCCTCTTTGGCCATTTCGCTGGTCTGGGACCCTGGCCTCAGTTTCGCACGGGGCAGAGGCCAGGGCACCCTGGGTCCTGACTGCCAGTCCTGACTGCCGGGACTCAGGCTTTTCTCCCAGCCCAGGCTCCGCCGCGTTTCCGGGCCTCCAGCCCGCCCCTGCTCCAAGGCCCTGTCGCCTCCCCTCGTCCGTCAGCGCGGCCTGCTTCCTGCAGCCCGCCGGAGAGCGGCCTTACTCCGGACAGGAAGGAGGGCTGCAGGGCTCAGGGCTCCGAGGGCCCTGGCGAGACCGTGGGATCCAGAGCAGGCCCACCCGGCCCAGCCCACTGTTCAGTTCCAGCGCAGCCTCCAGCCTGCAGGTCAGGATTGGATTCAATTCTTTTATTTATTACAATTTGCGAATTAAAACCATAACACAACACACATCTAGGGAAAGAAACGAAAGCTGGGGCGGTGGGGGGAAAGAGGGGCTAGCAAACGCCCTCCTGCCCTAATCTTCCCCTCCCACCTTTCCTCTGCTCCTTTGTCAGCATCACAAAACCCTAAAGGTTGTTCCACTTGGGAAGGCAGCGGATAGGTACATTTCCGCAGCCCCGAAATGCCACTTTTATGGCGCTGTTTGTCTCCCCGCGCTGGATTCTGAATGGGGCCGAACAAAACAGCAGCGCGGAGCTGGCTAGACGTCTGGGCTTAATTGTTTTATGGTTTAAATAAGGTGGACACTCTTTCCTTTGAAATCGGATTATAGGAATGTTTTGTCTATGGCCCACGGAGAACAGGACCTCACTGGCTGGGAGGGAGAGGTGGAGAGAGCGCGCGTGAGAGAGAGAGAGAGAGGGAGGGAGAGGGGTGGGCTACAAACCAGGGGGCAAACAGTCGGGAGAAGTCAGCGTCCCACCCCAAAGTCCTGCAGGCGGCGGCGGAATAGGCGGTGCGGAACCAGCGGCAGGGTAAGAGGAGCGAGGAGTTTAGGGTGCGCGCCGCGGGCAGGAGGTCGCGGGAGCCTCGGAGCGTGCATCTGCGTGAGCGGAGATGTTCCGAGCCCAGAAATGCGCCTGAATAGGGGGGAGATCGCGGCAGGTCCTTTGCACAGTGTCTCTTAATGCGGGGAGGGAGGGTGAGAAAAAGAAAATAGTGTGAAACCTTTGAGAAGGTTTATTTGGAGAACTTGGAAAACAAAAGGACAGCGGCCCCGGGGGAACTTCCTTCCCGGGACCCCTCTCTCTCGCACCCATTTGGAATCTCCTTCCTCTCACTTCCCACCTTTGGGCCAAGGCTGGGACCTGCTTGCTCTATCTGTTGGCTTTTTCTCGGCCGGACTGCATTGGAGCAAGTGGACGCGAGGTGGCGCTGTTGCTCAATGTTAGAGGCGGCGGCGGTGCCCCTGGCCGGCCTGGCTGCACTGACATTTGAGGCCCGGCCCGGAGGAGCAGCGGGGAGAAGGCCCCGCGCCCCGGCCCCAGCCCGGCCCCACTGGCTCTGAGCAAATCAATCCTCTCACCTGCGAGGTGTAAATAAATCGCGAGTGGCGGCGGGAGATGGGCCCTCGCTCTGGCAGCAGACTCGAGAGGCTCAGGAGGGCGGGCGTCGAAAATAATCGCTTTGCGAAGGAGATAAGCACCAAGCAGGCAGCGCGTAATTAACACAAAAAGGCAGAATGACCCGGACAAACGAACATAAATCCGTGGTACCTAGGAGGGCGGAGCAGGCCTCGCGGCGAGGGGCAGAGACGCCCCAGCGAGGATGGCTGCTTGCGGTGCCTTTATTTCCAAGCTCCGGGAGCGAAATCAACCAGATACGTGTAAAAGAAAAAAAGGCGATCAAATGAAAAAAAAAAAAAAGAAAGAAAGAAAGAAAGAGCGAGGGACCCCCAAAAGGGGAAATCGAGTCCAGCCAGGGGTTTCAGGACTGGTGGGCTCTCAGAGCAGACGGTGGTGGCGGCACACTCGGGACAGTCGCATTCCAAGACACAAAGGCCTGGAAGAATAGCTCTGTGGCAGGGTTTTCGCTGGACCATAAAATGTCGAGATATCCCCCCACCCTCTAAAAGATAAGGCGCAGGCCCCAGAGCGGATCTGGACTGCCGAGCCTTCTCTTTCCAGGCAGGGAAGGGAAAATATTTATGACAGTCCCCAATGACCCAGATGCTGGGAACCCAGAGCCCATCTCGTTCAGCTTGGTACTCTGAGCAGAGTAGGCTCAGAGAAGGCAGGGCTGAAACCAAGGCTGGAGCTTGCTCTGGTAGTGCAGGAGACCCCTGTCATGCCCCCCACTGTCCTGGACCCTAGGGAGGCCTGCAGCCTTGGCAAAGTCCTCTTCTGATCCTCCTCTCCTGCTCCAGGGCCAGAGTTCTGCACATTGCAGAGTTTGGGCAGTCCTTAATTCAGGTGGAGGTGGGTTCCTCCATATTCAGAGATCCTGGAAGTGTCCTTTGCTGGGGCACCAGTGACTCTTCTTTGGGAATTGGCTGAGAGTGGCCATCTTCCCAGCAATTATTTAGATAATAGAGGGACTGGGTGGAGGCTGTTATTCTACACCATCCTTTCCTGTACTGCCATTCCTTCATCCATCCCCAGAGCTGGGCTCTGGCTGAGGAAGAAAACGATCTGGTTTTCTAACAGCCTCCTTCCTCATCCAACCCTGAAACCCCAGGATGTGGAAAGAAAATAGCAAAATTTTTTCATGATGCAAACAGCTAAAGAGGCACATGTGTTTGTCAGGTATCAGTCCCCTGTGTGCCTGGGTGCACAGTGTCTGTGAGGTGACAGGGATGCTTCTGGGCATGCATGATGGTTGAGGGAGTGTGCATTCGATGTGTTTCAGGGTAGGAGGCGGCACATCCAGGATGTGTGTATCCCGAGTGTGCCCCACTGTTGCCCTCTGTACAACAACCTCACACACCGCGGAAGGGGAGGACCGGAAAAATCCTTCTAATTCCTCTTCTTCATTCGTATGCACACAGCACACGCATTCACAGCTCTCTCACTTTCTCCCTTTTCTCTCTGTCTCTGTTCAGCCCCACATAACTGTACATACTTATGGCCAGAGAAGGGTGCTGATGGACTAAGGTTCTTTTATCCATTAGAATTACCTTGAATTTACCTAGTCTTGGGGATAGAGGAGGAACCCCTAGAGAAACCATGGGTAAATATTTAAAGAGGGTCTGTTGACAGTTCCCATTCACATCCTGGCCTGGGCAGCCTGCCTGGGGAAGTAGGGGGGACCGTGAAGCCAGGGGCCCCCTCCAGGCTGAGCTGGCATTTCCTATAGGACTTGAGTATGTGGGGACAAGTAAGAGGCCTGCTCCAGTCCCCTCCAACCCAGATACAAATAGTCTCCCGAGAAGAAACATCCTGGATCAGCCCAGCCGGAAACCAGGGACCCGCCAGCTGCCCTCTCCTCTGTCCCCATAAACTGCTTGGCTCTCAGAGCCCCCAGCCAAGCTGCAGGGCAGCCCTGCCTGGGTATGTGGAGTGCGCCCCACCTCCAGCCCTCTCCTCTACCCACGGCAGGCGGGCGGGCAAGAGAATCTTAGGGATGGGGGAAGATGGGGCAGCTTCCCACCCTGAGGAGGGGCAGGAGACGTGGAGGGTTGGGATGCCTGAGGTATTTGGGGATATGCTGTGCTGAAATGCTTGCCCCTTCTGAGTCCCAGGCTTAAGGATGCCCTGGGGAGCCCATCTTTGGGTTAGGGGACCTGCTCTCTTGCTGGCATTCAGCCGCCTGGGGGGAGGGTCTTATACCTGTTGAGGTAACCTAAGTTGACCTGCTGGCTCAGGTGTCTCTGTCTGAGAGGAAGGGAAGGGGAAGGGGGGAGAGGCACCTTCAAATCTGAATGCGCACCTTGGAGAAGCTGGCCCCAGCCATTAGCTGGGGCTGGCTCACCGCCCCCCCACACACATATACCACACCCCCTCCTCCCCCTCCCTCTCCTCCCCTTCCTCCAGGTCCCCCCAGCCCTGAACCCCTCAACCCCCGCCATCCCTCCTTCTCTCTCTCTCTCTCTCCCTCTCTCTCTCTCTCTCTCTCTCTCTCGCCTGTCTTCATGTCGTGGATTGATGAACGCGAATCGCGTGTAAGCGCCGCCACCGCCGGGAGTCTGAGGAATTCGCCTGGGCTGTTAAAGGAAAGAGCTAAGTGCGAGAGCGCGAGCTCTACCTACCGACAGTGAAGAGAGCCGCCGCCGCCGCCGCCGCCGCCGCCGCCGCCGCCCGCGCCCACCCCCGGGAGCCGCGCCGAGCCGGCCGGGCCCGGCACCCAGGCGCCTCCCCCACCTGCCCAGCCCAGCCCCGGGGAGCCGGCCGGCCCGGGGTTCGCTCCCGGGGGAGGGGACTTTCGGGGGGTACCGGGCGGGGGGAGTCGCGAGCCAGAGGGGAGGGGGCGGCGGGTTTTCATGTGCCCAGCATGAGCTCCTACTTCGTCAACCCCCTGTTCTCCAAATACAAAGGCGGCGAGTCCCTGGAACCGGCCTATTACGACTGCCGGTTCCCTCAGAGCGTGGGCAGGAGCCATGCGCTGGTGTATGGGCCCGGCGGCTCCGCGCCCGGCTTCCAGCACGCCTCGCACCACGTCCAAGACTTCTTCCACCACGGCACCTCGGGCATCTCCAACTCGGGCTACCAGCAGAACCCGTGCTCGCTGAGCTGCCACGGAGACGCCTCCAAATTCTATGGCTACGAGGCGCTCCCCAGACAGTCCCTTTATGGGGCTCAGCAAGAGGCGAGCGTGGTGCAATATCCCGACTGTAAATCCTCCGCCAACACTAACAGTAGCGAAGGACAAGGCCACTTAAATCAAAACTCGTCTCCCAGCCTCATGTTTCCATGGATGAGACCCCACGGTGAGAAGCCTTTTCTCTTTCCCCCTTGGTCTCCCGCGCTCCGGGGTCTTCCCCCCCCTCCCTTGCCTCCTTTTTGTCTGCCCTCGCTTTCCCTCCTGGCTTTGGGGTCTCTGCGGCCCCACCCCCGTGCCTGAGTGGGTTTTCTCGAGGTTGGGAGGTTCAGCTGGGGGTGGGGCGCGGGGCTCGCCTGGGATATTTGGGGGACTGGGGTGAAGGTGGTGTCTGGGCGCAAAGGGTTAAAAATCGTTTTCTCCACCTACTGTCTGTCTGTCTGTCTGTCTGCCTGTCTCCCTCTCTGTCTCTCCCTCTTGCCATCTCTAAAGTCAAAGTTGGGGAGGTGGCTGGGCAGAGGCCCGAGGACCCTGAGGTTATCAGCCTTTGGAGCAAACCAGTCTTTCCAAAAGGCAGAAAGCCTCAGTCCAGAACAGTGGCCAGGCTGTCTTGGGGGCGAAGGGAGACCCCTGTTTCCCTCCCCTACCTGGACCAGAGGGTGACAAGACCCCAAGGACAGGTGCCTTGGCTCTCTGGGGTACCCACTGCCTCCTCTCAGAGAACTAGCCTTAAGGCCACCCCCCCAACTTTGCTTTAGTTCCCTCAGCTGGAGAGAAGAGAGGGAGCCAGAGAGGAGAGAAAAAGAGTGCAGGAACGGAGAGGGGCCATGCAGATTAGAGGGCTCTGGGGTCCAGAGGACCCAAGCGCCAGCTGCCCCCAATCAAAGGTTTGTGGGCTTTCCCTGAGACCTTCAGAGTGGCTCAGGCCATGAGCCCCTCCAAGGGTGGCCTCTCATGGCCCAATTTCGAAGTAAAAGGGGAAGCGAGAAAGCGACAAGTTCCAGCGGGGATGGCCCGTGATTTATTTGCTGGTCTCCAGTTAGCAATCAGGCCAAGCAGTGATACATTCCAGGAGATCAATTATTTTTCTTCCTGGCAAGGCATTAGGCAGGGAGATTCAAGGAGGGGGCAGTGGGCAGAGCCCCTCTTCTTTACCCCCAGACCTTTTTCCTTTCTTTTGGAAACAGACTCTGTCCCCAGCTCTGCTCACCAAATGCCACTCTGTACTTGTAAACAAAGCTGCAAGGGCCAGTTTCCTGAGACTGCAGGCCTGGAGGGGGGAGAGGGGGGACTCTGCAGTGCTCCCCCTGCCCCTGCCATCCCCCCAGTTTCCTGATAGACCCTAGTCCCTGCCCCCACCCCCACCCCACCTCCCAAGGTGAAGCCAAGCCAAATCAAGCCCCCAAAGTTTCCTGCTCTTGCCTGGTCTTCAGGAGGGAGGGGAACTGGGGAGACCACAGGGGAGACTTTAGGGGGGAAGAGTGGCAGGGGAGAGCCGAGCCCCCACCCAAACATAACCAGATTGGGGTTCTATTCTGTCCAGCTCCGGGGCGGCGCAGCGGAAGGCAAACTTACAGCCGGTATCAGACCTTGGAACTAGAAAAGGAGTTTCTCTTTAATCCTTATTTGACACGAAAGCGCCGGATTGAAGTCTCTCACGCCCTGGGACTGACTGAGAGACAAGTGAAGATCTGGTTCCAGAACCGAAGGATGAAGTGGAAAAAGGAGAACAACAAGGATAAACTGCCCGGAGCCCGAGAGGAAGAGAAGGTGGAGGAGGAAGGAAACGAGGAAGAGGAGAAAGAAGAGGAGGAAAAGGAAGAAAACAAGGACTAAGCAAAAGAGAGAGACCCCCCCCCTCCCTTAGCAACTCCCTTGAAGTTTCGTTTTATGGTAGCGGATAAATTGAGAAGTTTACGACTGTCATTTGCTTTTATAGAGAATAGAATGACACTCACAACTCTAACTACCTGTCAGATACTTGCAGCTCTGGTTTTATTACCTTTGGACTTCCCCCCCGATCTTTATTTGTTTGGGGGCCGGGGGGGGGAGACCGAGACACAGCGGAAAGTTGGGACTCTGTCTCAGTCCTTGCCCCAACACACACACTTGTCCCTACCCCCACCCTTTGGAGTCCTGCCTGGATCTTAAGGTCTGAGACCTGGCCCCTTCGCCCCCCTCACCCCTTCTTGCCACACTCCCACCTCCCTGCTTCTCTGGTATTTATTTTAGAGGGGGAGCCCTCTCAAAATGCGGAAGAAGACTTGTGGCTTTGTTTTTACGCGAGGACTATGTGTTAGATTTACTTCTTTTCAAAAGAAAGGAAAGAAAAGTGAAGGAAGGAAGGGAAAGAAAGGGAGATGTTTAAAGAAATTTTTTAAATGATAGCAAGGAATATCCCTTCTCCCTCTCTGGGGCTCCCCCACTTAGAAAGACCCCCTTGACTTTCTCAAGAAACCTGCTGGAAACCTGAAAGAGATGCGGGTCTCTCCCCTGCCCCCCCTCCCCATGGGGTAGATAGGAGCCTGCAGTCGCCGCTAAAATCCTACCTAGCCATCCCATGGTCACTCGGGCCCATGCCTTCCTCCCCTTCGCTGTCTGATTTCTGTTGTTGGGCCCAGCTTCCTCTGAGCTGCACTAGTATTAGCGCTCAGAAATCACCATAATCATGAAAATAATAAGAATGATAATAATAATACTGATAATAAATCTTTAACATACTACCTAAAGGGAACCTGCAATAATCTTGAAAAAATAAAAAAGAAATTTTTAAAAATCCTAATATGCAAGAAAAAAAGAGAAAAAGATTAAAATTTAAAAAAAAAGAAAGAAACCTCCAACGTATTTTATCACTACCTATAGAAAGAAATCCTGCTTTGAGAGTATTCGTAATGCGGTTTTGTTGTCGTTTGTTGCTGCTTATTTCACTAAGAAAAACCCAACAACTAAGACTGCCTAGCCCGCCGGTCCTGTGCGCTTTTATTGTGCTTCTAACCCCAGTAGAGTAGAACTAAATTGCACTGAATGTATAGTTAACTCTGTCTTGAATTCTCTGTTTATGCAATGTGCTCGAAAGAAAAAAAAAACGTTAAAATATATCTATAATAATAATTTTTGGTCATTTGTCTTTATGTCCAGCTATGAATGTAGATTTTGTGTCCCGGCAGCCCTGTTCCTGGTCCAAGTACTTTGTATTGTATACGTGAGTCATAATAAAAAAAAAAAAAAAAGGAGAAAAAAATTTGAAGCTGGAATGACTTGCTTTTTCTCCAATGCCCCCCTCCCCCCCAATTCTCTACTCCTCCTTTCCTCCTTATTCCTCTTCCCCAGCACTGTGGAAAAGGTCTCTGTCACTGATCTGACTCCTGGGTGGAGGAACTCACGTGGAGAGGTGCCTAGGAGTTGAGAGGGCAGACTGGGCAGGGAGAGCAGGTGAAAGGTGGGGGAGGTGTAGAGGAGGAGGAAGAAGAGCAGTATGCTCCAAGTATGCTCTTGGGAGAACCTTGGCTCTAAACAAAATGGGTTTCTAGATGCCAAGACCCCAGTGAGAAGAAAGGGTCTCCCCACTTATTCACCTTCCTCCTCCTCAGCCTTGGGCTGGGCCCAGACAAAGAATCTGCCCCCATGCGCCTCCCACAACTAGGCCTTTTTCTTCCAGGGACTGAGGATGAGGCAATGGGGTTCTTCCTGATCTCCACATGCCCCTCGTGGTCAACCCTGGGCACCCAGCACCCAGCACTAGAACAGTGAACAGGGTGGGAAGAATGTGAGGCTCAAGGCAGCCTGGAGGACTTGGCTGGGGGGAAGATGGCTAGGGGTGGGGGATGAGGAAGCTTCAGCCTGGGGGAAAGGGAAGGAGGGGAAGGTGAGTGAGTTGGTACACCAAGTAGCCTGGGTCCATGTTCTGAAATTCAAATTCCATCAGCACAGAGCCATCACTATCACCCAGGCCACTAGCATCTACCCCAGCCTCTGTTCTGGCTGTTTCAAGCCAGCTCCGGGCTTCACCTTGGCAATTGGGCAGTCTGCCCTGCCCTCATAGTGTGGGCCATTGGCCTGGGGGTGAGGAGGATGGGCCTGCGTAGTGGACAGCCCCCCATCCCAGCCACAGTCGGGTAAAGAGAGTCTTCACTGGACTCCTCATTCCCCAAAATAAGGGGTTGAAGGCTCAGGGACTCAGGGGGCAAAGGGGTCTCTCACTCCTCCCTGGAGGGTCCTAGGCAGAGAAATCTGTTTATGCCGGTGAGATTCTGGTCAAGTAATACCAAATTCCAGAGATAGGAGTCATCTGACTCAGTCAGGAGAAGGGGGAAAGGGAAGGAGATGGGATCTTCTGGTCCTTAAAACAAGATCCCCCAAAGACAAATATTTTTGAAGCCAGATCTCCCCCACCCCCGTCAATGCTTTTCCCAGGCTTAGGCCCGGGCTGATTCTTATTTTGTGTAATTTCACCGGCATCTGGGTCCCTGGCTCCCACGCCAAGTGGTCGTGAATACAGGATCGGGTCAGTCATCCTTGATATGGGACTCCTGCGGTCCGAGAGAGGCTGCCGATTGGAAGCACATGCTGCAGGCAGCCGGGAACAGCTTTGAACAGCTCTGGGGGAAATCTATGGAAACCTGGGGTCCCTGCTGTGGGCCGTTGCTCCAGCCAGGTAACCCCGTTTGCTGCGGGAGGCTCCGGCAACCCGCCAGGGAGTCCCGAAAAGAGCATTTCGCTCCGACCTCAGGCCTTCCCAGGGGCATCCCTTCCAGACTCCGAGGGCCCGCCGCGGGCCGTTTCATTTTTTAAAATGTGGAATTATGATTGCTATTAATAAACATCGCCGCCCCGTAGCCAAGTTGCTTGAACCCTACACTAAGTGGCTCCGAAGAACCTCGCCGAATTTCCCCCACACCCAATGCCCCATTCATCCCGGGCCCTGCTCAGCAATGCCCGTGGCCCCAAGCCCGGCGTCGGGGGGCGGGGTGCGTCTGGCGCCCGGCATCGCTTGAGATGCGAAGCCTCGGGTGGGCCACACCAAGAGAGCTCCAGCCGCCCCTTCTTGCAGCACCCGCTCCCCCACCCTTTCTGCCCACCGCCTCTTTTTTCTCGTTTGGAGAGAAAAGGAGGTAAAACCCGTTTTATGGGGGAACTTAATTGCGAGCGGGATGCGCTCTCTTTAGAAACGCGTCCTCCCAAATGCTCCTGCCGTCCCATTACCGGAATGGGGACCATTCGGCTGCAGCAGATAGGACTTTCTCCCATTCTTTACTTTTTTATTAGCCAATCAAAGTGGCTTCCGAAAGCTATTTGTGATTTGTGAAAAATAGTATCTTTCAAAATGCTGAGTTGAAGCATCTCGCTCATTTCGCCTTGAATTTATTATTCTAATCTCAGCTGTAGAGACGGGATAATGCAGCTATTAAGTTGGGGGGCAAATTCGTTTCTCTGGATTTTTTTTTTTTTTAATTCTCGGCATTTTATCTCCCTCCCCACTTCATTGCAGAGGCCAAGGGAGGTGCGGGCCTGCAGGGGACCTGGGGGTGAGGGAGGTAGTGAGTGCTCTATAGGGCTTGGGGGGGGACCCTAGGATGGGAGAGTGGTTTGGCCTTCCCCAGCCTCATCTTCCTCAAATGAGATGTCCCACTGGCTGCCTGCTGGCTGCAGAAAGTTACCTCACCCCAATTAGACCGAACTCGGGACAGGTTGTGCCACAGACGAGAAGTAAAATTTCCGGTGAGCAGCCCGCAGCGCTGTCCCATTCTCCCAGCAGCCCATTGTGAAAAGCTGGGCCAGAGCTTCCTTGTCGTAATTTTTAACTACCTGTTATAAAATTTATGGGCGGGTTTGTAAAAGAAACTAGGTCTCTGCATCCGGCTGAGGGAACTGCTTCCCTTACCCAGGGAGGAAGTTTGGGGAGGGGATGAGGGGCCCCCTATTGGTTGGGGTGGGGCACCCAGCCATGGATGTCCCCACGCCAGCTCCGTAAGGGATCAAGGGGAGAGCTTTGGGCCTTCAGATCTCCAGCTGGTGGGGAGTGTTGGGCTGTGACTCGGCTGGGCTGCGACTGGTTGGCAAATAGTCTCTATGGGGGGAATTTATTCTGGGTTCCCCCACATTGGATTCATCGCCAAAATTATGGGTCTGGAGAAAGGTGGGAGACACCTCAAGTGCTTGGAATTTAGCACAGAAGGTGGAATTTGGGGAAAGATAAGTTTCTTTCTGGGGGGAGGGCCTCCAAGGTGTATCCCAGCTGCTTGAACACCAGAATTTTTCTGAAAAAGGCAGGTGGGTGCTGGTCACCTGACAAGATAGAAAAGGCTTCAAGCTGCCTTGCACCCAAAGCGGGGGTGGGGGGTGGGGGGAGTGGGGAGTAGGAACCAAGATCTTGGGCCTTAATTTTATTTTTATTTCTAAATAGATTGGGAGTAATCTGCCATCTAAACCTAGGAATTGAGGAGACCTGAAACTGGGGATGGTCTAGGAGAAGGAAAAATGTCATTTTCTCTGAGAAAGGAGCCTGGGATGATGGGCACTTTGGGGGTTCTGGTGGCTGCCCCCAACTCTCACCCCTCCTGCTGCATCGGCAGGGCTACCCAGTTCGGGTCTAAGCCCTCTCCGTTCTTCAGACCACGGCCAGGTCAGGCTTGGTTATGAGGCTTCCAGGCGCGTGTCCTTCTTGCTTCTGTCTGGGGCTGAACGGGGCGGGGGGGGGTGCTGCCAGGGCTCCCCACTGGGAAAGATGTAGTTCTCTTCCTAGAAAAAAGGGTAGGAGTTGGGAGCGCATCCCTTCTCAGTCCCTTCACCCCTCCAGCCGGCACTGCACCACCAGTGCCACAAACCTTTGCAAAGCCTCGCTTCCCCCAGATCCAACCTTAATACCCCATTTATTAAGAAAAATATTTAAAATTCGGTATGGCAAAGGGAGGCGGCCGACTCAGCGCCAGAATCCTTCCTTTCCTCCTCTCGCGTCCCCCCTTTGCCCTTTCTGTGCTAGCCTGGAGCAGCCTGGCCCGTGGGGAGTGGGCGGTGGGTGAGGGTGGGGTGGGGGTCGGGGGGATGCTCCCTCTCCGAGAGAATTGGGTAAACATGGCGACCGCGGCGCCCATTTGCACACGCTACACAAATGCATCGCATTCCCGGTTGTTTGCAGAAAATTTACAGCTGAGTAATAAAAGTTTACGATCGACTCACAAGTTGGATTGGCCACAAGAAGTCATGTGGATTCCATCCATGAACGTGAACTTTTTATTGTGGTTTGTCCGTTCGGAGCGCTCCGCAGAACAGTCCTCCCTGTAAGAGCCTAACCATTGCCAGGGAAACCTGCGCTGGGCGCTCCCTTCATTACCAGTATTTTTTTTTTTTATTAATCTGATTAATAATTATTTTCTCCCCCATTTAATTTTTTTCCTCCCAGGTGGAGTTGCCGGAAGCTGGGGGCACCCGGGGAGGGGGGGATGTAGGGGAAGGGGCAGGAGTTGAGGGCACCTCTCTCTCCCTTCCCGATCCTCTAGCCCCCCAAGGGGCAGGAGGTATGCGGGAGCAGGAGTTGAGATAGGGAGCTGCAGATGCCTCCGCCCCTCCCCTCTCCCAGCCTCTCCCTCCTGCCCCCTTCTTGCAACTCTCCTTAATTTTATTTGGCTTTTTGATCATTGGGACTATTCTTTTTTATTTTTTAAATTTATATAAAGTATATATGTGTGTATGGAGCTGAGACAGGCTCGGCAGCGGCACAGAATAAGGGAAGACGAGAAAGAGAGAGTGGGAGAGAGAGAGAGAGGCAGAGAGAGAGAGGGAGAGGGAGAGTGACAGCAGCGCCCGGTAAGTGTTTCCTTATTGGTTCAAATATGTAACTAATGGTCCGTAGCTGGGTGGCGGTTTCAAGATAAGGACAGCAGCGGCTTGTCTTGGTTAGAGAGGAGAGGGGGGCTGGCGAGAGGGTGGGCGTGCGGGCAATTAAGGGGAGGAAAAGTGGGGGGAGGATTGGGTTAAGCTGTAATACGGTGGTGTGGGAAGTGTGTTGTCCTGATGTCACTGTGCGCCGAAGTTGGGGGTTGGGGGGAGAAGAGGACTGCGCCTGTGGGGCTCAAGGCCGGGGTCTAGTGCGCTGACCCGCTGCCTGATGCCCACCCTGTCCTTACCTATTATAGATCTGCGGCCTCTTGGCTAATGGGACTGGGACGGAGGGGGCCCGGAAGCTCAAACTCCAGGGCAGGAGAGAGAACTGTAGACTGTAACCATTACCC